CTGACCGCTGCCCCGTGCCGGCCGCAGGATGCTGACCTTCTCCAACAACGTGGAGCCGGCCAACGGCTTCCTGGTGCGTTACCTGCGGCGGAAGCTGCTGGAGTCGGACAGCGACGTCAACGCCAACAAGGAGGAGCTGCTGCGGGTGCTGGACTGGGTGCCCAAGCTCTGGTACCACCTGCACACCTTCCTGGAGAAGCACAGCACGTCGGACTTCCGGGTTCCTGGGCCGGTGCTCAACCCCTGAGCCACGCCCAGCTGGGCCTCCCTGGGGTCTTGGGCATCATGGCGGCGGGGTGACAATCTTCAGACTAGAACCTCTGAGTCACTTGAGCTGTCCTAGTTCGGTTAGCCCTGTGCTCTGGGTGAATCCGCCAGCCTTCTGAACGCCGAGCCCCACCCTCTGTGTCCCCCACGATGGATGGAACACGGGAGGGACGTCCTCTCTGCCCCCCTCTCTGGAGCAACCTCAGAATGGCCCCCCGGGAATGCTGGTTGTCCCCGGCCTGGTGTGAGGGCGTCAGAGAGGCGGGTGCCGGGGGGGAAAAAAAAGGCGCTCGGCCCCCTCCACAGCCCCCCGCTTCTCCTAGGCCCCTGCTTCTTCCTGTCCTGCCCCATCGGCATCGAGGACTTCCGGACCTGGTTCATCGACCTGTGGAACAACTCCATCATCCCCTACCTGCAGGAGGGGGCCAAGGACGGCCTCAAGGTGAGCCCTGCCCTCTCCCCCCTCCCCCGGCTCAGGGCAGCAGAATTTCTTTCTTTTTTTCTCTTTTTTAAAATATAGGCCGAAACCAGTTTGGCTCAGTGGATAGAGCGTCGGCCTGTGGACTGAAAGGTCCCAGGTTCGATTCCGGTCAAGGACATGTACCTTGGTTTCGGGCACATCCCCAGTAGGAGGTGTGCGGGAGGCAGCTGATCGGTGTTTCTCTCATCGATGTTTCTGACTCTCTATCTCTCTCCCTTTCTCTCTGTAAAAAATCAATAAAATATATTAAAAATATATATATATATAGATCTTTATTGATGTCAGAGAGGAAGGGAGAGGGAGGGAGAGATAGAAACATCCATGATGAGAGAGGATCATGGACCGGCTGCCTCCTGCACGCCCCTCACTGGGGATGGAGCCCACCACCCGGGCCTGTGCCCTGACCGGGAATCGAACCCTGACCTCCTGGTTCCTAGGTCAACGCTCAACCCCTGAGCCACGCTGGCCGGGCAAAGTCCAAAAAAATTTAAAGGCGTTTATTACCGAAGCGAAAGAGTTTCCTGCTTGGAAACTATAATTGTGGGGTCGTAAGGTTTGCGCGTGTCCGGTCCTGATGCCGTCTGCCGAGTTGTCCTCCAAAACGGTTTTACCAATTCGCACCCACCTCCTACCCCGGTTGGGGGACTCGGAGAAAATTCCATGGGATCGGAGCTCTGGGTGTGCATCCGGGGCAGGACTGGCCCGGCCGGGAGCCTGCGTGGCCGCGCCTCTGATCCGGGGTCCCTCTCCCCGCCCCCCCCCTTCTCCCTCTCCCCAGGTCCACGGACAGAAAGCCGCCTGGGAGGACCCGGTGGAGTGGGTCCGGGACACGCTCCCCTGGCCCTCGGCCCAGCAGGACCAGTCCAAGCTGTACCACCTGCCCCCGCCCACCGTGGGCCCTCACAGCATCGCCTCGCCCCCCGAGGACAGGACGGTCAAAGACTGCACCCCAAGTTCTCTGGAGTCGGACCCTCTGGTGAGTGGGGAGCATCCTGAGGTCAGAGCGAGAGAGCGTGGCAGGATGGACGCCTCCCCGCGTTCCCTGAGGGA